GTATGTATCGCTTGTGTATGGCCAGCGTTTAAGGGTGATGAAGTGGAAATATCTGTTGAGTGTACAGTCTACCAACCAGGGAGGGCCAATGGCCTCGTCTGCCACACTGAACGCCCGTCCAAATGTCGAACCCAGTTGCTATGGGGTCGGGAGGTGTCGCCGGGCCTTTGGGTGGGCGGCAGCTGTAGAATGGCCTCGGTGCGTGGGCGAGGCTCCTCGTTGGCCTAATCCTTCCAACTTTCTATGTCTGTCAGGGGGCTAGACTCTGTCTCTGAGCAGTGATGTGCAGCGGTTATTTGTTTGTCATTTTGTGGTAAATATAGGGCTGCAGCAGCTGTACCAGTGTTTTCATGACTCAATATCTTATCCTCTATAAGATGATAGTGTCCATTTCCCCCTGTCTCTGTGCATCACTCTCAGGATCTGTGTTTTTTGTTATCGATTGAGACTCAGTTGAAAAAAAAAAAAAAAAATTGGTTGGAAATCCAATGATTTCATCGATTCTTGGCGCTGTTTCTTCTGCGAATGAATTGTTCAGGAGATGAGTACTATTTCTCCATCAATGATGTTTATCATCGGGATAATAGCTGGGGAGGGCATGAAGTATATCAGGGAAATTATGGGGTAAAACAGGCTTAAGAAGAATAGCGAACAAAAATGCGTGGTAGAGGTTATAGACACAGACGCGCGTAGATAGAGCGAAATGGACACCGCCATCTTATAGAGCGGGAAAAATAGAAGGGGATTGCTTATAGTTTAAGTTGCGCCGGCCATATAGTTACCGCTAAGTGGCGAAAATATAATGTGCGGCAGCCTTTCAAATTCAAAGTCGATGAGCTTGTTTATTTTTCGAAGAAAAACACGACACTGACCCACGAACGCATTTTTGCGTTCGCGAACTAGTCCGTGTATCATTACGTGCTTGTCAAAACGATATTTGGCTAATTATCTGTGTCTGCTGGTACGCATTTATGCCTTTAAAGTCTTTTAGTAATGTTATTATACTTCATTTGCATATTTTTATATTTATCTATACCCTCATATAGAATCCTGCACATCGAGTGTTTCACACTTTCTTGCGCCAGCCACAGGTTGACAGCTCACCATACCGCTCATTTCGAGATTGAAAGCCGGTGAGAAATGTTGTTTCCACTGTTGTGTTGATTCTGGGTTCTTTTTAAGACTTTTACAGTGGCATCGAAGAATAATTAGACTTTAGTAACCATCCCAGCTTTATATCTGAGCCCTTCAAGAGCTCCAAATGACAAAAAAGGTGGTTAAAATCGAAGCAATCCCAACAGTACAAAGAAACGAAAGTTTCACGTTTCCGGATATAAAGGTATTTGGTTTATTATTTTACCATGTGAATGCAGCTCTGTCTTGCCGTACAAACCGAGGTGGAGAGAATGTGTCCTGGGGGGTGTTGGGGGGCTTGCCCCCATCAACCCTCTCCTCGGGCAGTGCCCGAAGGGCACGCCTAGTCATGGCAATTTATATTGATATATTAGGTTGGTTTATTGGTCAATACGTTTTTGGGGGTTGGAACATGTGAATTCCCGTAGATTTTTGCTGGAAGGTGGGTAGAGTTTTTGATTTCTGGTGCGTCAGCCCATAAAATTTCAAAGATGGCGGTTACATCTGTAGTTTCATTGGCCAATTTTAAGCGTTTTTTGTGCTAGTTTTACGCATTTTTGATTGTTATTCTTATTTAAACTTGTTTTACCCCATAATTTCCCTGATATACTTCATGCCGTCCCCTGCTAACGGGACTATCAAATCAAGATCGTCGATGGAGAAATGGTACTTGATCTCTTGAACGATTGCAGAAGAAACAATGCCGAAAATCAATTAAATCATAGGATTTCATGCAGAAAAACATAAATTTTTTCAACTTAGTCTCTGGGAGGGTGCGTCGCTCTCTGTAACAATTACCAAATGCGTAACACTAGCACAAAAAGCGCTTAAAACCGGCCATCTTTGAAATTTTACGGACTGCTGTGCCAAAATTAAAAAACTATGGGCAAAATCTATGGGAATTCACATGTTCCAAACCCTCAAAAAACGTACTGACCAGCAAACCAGTCTAATCTAAAAATTTAAGATGCTGTGACTAGGCTTGCCCACTGCCCGAGGGGAGGGTTGATAGGGGGGGCTCTGTCCTGCAACAACCCCTGGGAAACATTCTTTTCGCCTCAGTATGTATGGTAAGATAGAGTAAGATAGAGCGGTATTATTGGAAAAAGGCGTCACCAAAGAATCAATGAAAACCTTACAGCCTAGAGGATATTTGATTAATGATAATTTTTCATTAAATAAACTTGTCTCGCAAATGAATAATAAAGTTATTTAATTATCCAAATAGATAAAAATAATATAAAAGGTATTAGAAGTTATGAATTCATGGCTTCCATGTGTGCAGGGTGTGTATAAAACCATACCAAGTTTTAAAAAATAATTTTGAAGACGATGAGGCTAACTATTAATCTTAAGTGCCCTGTGACCGGATGTCGTGACGCTGCTCGATGCCGAGTCTGTCCGATGTTCTCTCCTGCCGTGAATACGTGGAGGATTCTTTGTTTTCCTGGGTGGGGGTTGGAAGGTTGCATTAGACAATATAGTGACTTAATCGGTACCATGATTACAGCAGTGGAAAATTTGGCCAGTATTCCCTCAGCGATCGTGTGAATCTCACCTCCTTTTAATATTTATTTATTTTGATAATTAGATAACCTTGTTATTAGTCATTTCCAAGACAAGTTTATTTAATATAAAGTGATCATTAATTAACTATCTTCAGGCCTGTATGGTTAGTTTTTATCAATTCTTTGGTGACACCTTTTTCCAAATTTACCAATAGAGCTGCGTTCACCCTGAAATAATAAACCAAATACCTTTATATCAGGAAATGTCAAGCTTTTGTTCACTTCTTTCTACCGTCTGGATTGCTTCGACTTTAATCCTTTTTTTGGCATTTGATGGGCTCAGGTATTAAACTTGGATGGTTACTAAAGTCTGTTTCTTCATTGCCACAGTTTAGTCTTAAGAATAACCTAAAATCAACACGATTGTGGAAGTGTGACATTTTTCATTACCGTGAAATGGCTTGAACTGTCAAAACTGTTGGTGAGCGACAAAGTGTGAAACACATGATGCACATATCATTCTAAATAAGCGCATAAGTAAATCTTAAACACGTAAATGAAGCATAATAACTTAATAAAAGACTTTTAAAGCAGAAATGTGTAACATCAGACAATGATATTTAGCCAAATATCACCTTGACAAGCGTGTAGTACCACATGAAGTACTTGGGATATCACAGTAATAAGTTAAACATTCAGTGTTGTGTTATTTATGGCAAGGTAAACAAGATGATTGACTTAGAATCTGAGTGGTGATATGTGAGGAATATTTTCATCATTTAGCCATGAATATTAGGTTACTGCAGCTTAAACAATGTTGTATCCTATTCTGTTTCTCCTGCTCTATAAGATGGCATTGTCTATTTCCCTCTATGTATGCGCGTCACTGCAAGTGACTTATACCGTAAGTCTGACCCCTAGGTTCTGCTAATAGACCTTCACCAAATTGCCAAAATGAAGTATATCAGGGAAATTATGGGGTGAAAGAGGCTAATGAAACTAAAAAGACGCCTTTGATTTCACACTTTCCAAACCCCCCAAAACATCCTGATTACACCTTTGAAAGTATATGCACCACTGCGCCAAAGTTTTAAAAAACTCTATGGGAATCCAACCTATCTTTCGGCAAAATCTATGGGATGCCTTTGATTTCACACTTTCCAAACCCCCCAAAACATCCTGATCCATAACCCAACCTAACCTAACAATTTACGGTGCCGTGACTAAGTGTGCCCTTCGTGCACTGCCCGAAGGGAGGGTTGATGGGGGGCTCTGCCCCCAACACCCCCCGGGATACATTCTCTTCACCTCAGTAGGTACAGCAATATAGAGCTACATCCATAATGTAAATAATAAACCAAATACCTTTATATTTTGAAAGACTGAACTGTCAGTTTTCCTTCATTTCTTTCAGTTGGTCAGTCGGTATTTTGTGGATTGCTTAGTTTTTATCACTTTTTTGGGGATTTGGGGTACTTGATAGCCTCAGAAATCAAACTGTGATAGTTATTAAGGTCTTTTTCTTCTGTGTTGCCACTGTATAGTCTTACAAGCAACCTAGAATCAACGCAGCACCGAAAACAAAACCATTCTCTCTGGGCTTCTGTCACCGAATGCCCAAGAATCATCCTGTCAAACCTGGCAGCCAGAAATGCGGAAATGCACGTGTGCAGAAGGTTCTTCAGACTGATTCCCATAAATTACTGTCTAATTAATCTTGAAACACATAAATGAGGCATAACATTAACAAAGGCCTTTGAAAGCGTAAATGTGGAACAGCAGGCACTGAGAATTAGCCAAATATCGTTTTCACAAGCACTTATTAATACATGACCTACTTGAGATATTGCAGGAATGCGTTCAGTGTTCATAATTTTGTTATAATTGCGATGTCAACATGGCGAAGAACTTAGAAAAAGAGGGGTCGATCTTCTCTCTTCTCTGTCATGTATCTCCTTAATTTTCAATTGGCCATAGATGAAAAGTATCTTATTTCGTATCAAGGTAAGCATTCCTTACATTTTTTTTACTCAATTCCTGATTGTTATCTACTGTAAATTTTCTGGTTTACATATTCCATGATTTTCATATTAACTTGCAAAAGTGATACCATAAATGAAAAGTCCTATTTTCACTCACTGTCCGTTACAGGCAAATTTTGGACAATATGCAGTACGAGCTAGTGGTAGAGTCAGGTAATAAAACCTATATTAAGGGACCGTCTGCTTTTTTTTTTGATTTTTCGATTTATCTTGCCGATTTTGATGAAACTCACACCCTTTTATTTGGGCCCCTTCCCATTGCCTGTGGTCGATTTTTTTTCGAAATCGCTCGAACAGTTTTTGAATTATTGTCAAA